GAGAGAGAGAGAGAGAGAGAGAGAGAGAGAATAGGTTTTACTACAATAATCCAGCTAGTCACTGAACAAATTAAGCAAGTAGCAGTAACAAGCCCATGGAAATGAAGGCAGGGAGTGGGGGACTCATACTCAAAGTTATTGCAATATATTATCTAAAATGTCAAGTTTCCAACAGAAAATTACAAGGTATGCAAAAAATTAGGAAAGTATTACTCTTACATTGGGAAAAGAAGCAGGGAACAGAAACTGCCTGTAAGAGCAATGAGATGTCAGATTTAACTAAAAAAGACTTAAATAGCCATTATGAACATGTTCACAGAATTAAAGGAAAGCATGATAAAAAAAGTTAAGCCAAGTATTGATGACAATGTGCATCAAAAAGAGAATATTGTTAAAGAGATAGAAATTATAGAAAGGAATCAAATGGAAATTCTGGAATTAAAAAATACAATGATGGAAATAAAAGCTTCCTGGAAGGGCTTAATAGATTTAAACTGATGGAAGAAAAAAATAGTTAACTTAAAGATGGAGTCGGCTCGGCGCCTGTGGCTCAAGCGGCTAAGGCACCAGCCACATACACCTGAGCTGGCGGGTTCGAATCCAGCCTGGGCCCGCCAAATAACAATGATGGCTGCAACCAAAAAATAGCCGGGTGTTGTGGCGGACGCCTATAGTCCCAGCTACTTGGGAGGTGGAGGCAGGAGACTCGCTTGAGCCCAGGAGTTGGAGGTTGCTATGAGCTGTGATGCCACGGCACTCTACCCAGGGCAACAGCTTGAGGCTCTGTCTCTAAAAAAAAAAGATGGAGCCATTATTGTTCAAAGTGGAACATTTTCTCAAATAAACAAAAACTGAGAGAATTTGTTGCTAGTAGACCTGCCTTAGAAGAAATAATAAAGGAAGTTCTTCAGGCTGAAAGCAAGTGATCCCAGATGGTAATTCGAATCCACACAAAGAACATCAATAAAGGTAATTATAAAGACACTATAAATGCATATTTTTTTCTTCTTCCCTTAAATGATTTAAAAAGCAACTGTATAAACTAATATGAACACAGAAATGTAGCATATTGCCAATAATAGCACAAAGGAAGTGGGTAAGAGCAAAGCTGTAATGGACTAAGCAGATGATGGCAAATGGTAAAGTAACGATGGGCCAGGCCCAGGGCTCATGCCTATAATCCTAGCACTTTAGGAGGCCAAGAAGGGTAGTAGCTTGAGCTCTGGAGTTCCAATAGGTTGGACCAAGAGCCAGACCTTGTCTCTACTAAAAATAGAAGAACCAGCCAGGCAGAGTGGCACCCGCTTGTAATCCCAGCTACTTAGGAGGCTGAGGTAAGAGGACTGCTCAAGCCCAGGAATTTGAAGTGTGAGCTACAATGCCATGGCACTCTACCCAGGGCAAAAGAGTTAAGACTTTATTTAAAAAACAAAAAACAAAAAACCTAACAATGTATTGTTTGACTTGTATCATTCAATTGATGTATATGTATTACAAAAAGGGAAGAAAGGGAATATAGCTATACAGAAGTAACATTTCTGTGTATCACTGGAATTAAGCTACTATGAATCTGAAGCAGATAAAGAGGTATACATGGTAAACCTTAAGGCTATCACTAAAAGAACCTCAAAAAATTAAAAAAAATCATTAGTGAGGCTCCGTGCCTGTAGTTCAAGTGGCTAAGGTGCCAGCCACATACATCAGAGCTGGTGGGTTGGAATCCAGCCCAGGCCTGCCAAACAATGACAACTACAACCAAAAAATAGCTGGGCGTTGTGGCAGGCACCTGTAGTCCCAGCTACTTCGGAGCTGAGGCAAGAGAATCGCTTAAGCCCAGGAGTTGGAGGTTACTGTGAGCTGTGACACTATGGCACTCTACCCAGGGCAATGGCTTGAGGCTCTGTCTCAAAAAAAAAAAAAAAAAAAAAATTAGTGAAATTAAAATGCTGCATATTGTCATTTTTATTCAATGAAAAGCACTCCATGCAAAACAAAGGAACAGAGGAACAAAAAGACATGAGACATATAGAAATAAAACTGCACCGAAATCCATAACATAGCTGATAGCTATAAAATGTAAGAATACCAGGAATACTTACTTTTCAAACCACAGAGTGAGATTAGTGGTGTGTCGGATCATTTTCAGAAGATTGGGAGAATTAATTTCTTTGTCTTCTTTTGTCCACACACTCCCAACTAATTCTGATGGCTGTACAGCTCTAAAATCATCAATGCATAATGTTAAATGGTACTTTTTCTTCTAATATGGACACTGATATGGATTAAGTAAATGAAATAAAGAAAAACTAGACTCCCGTGTAATGTTCCTCTTACCAACAGATTTATGAAATAAAAAAGCATAACAAAAAAAAAATTGTAAATGTACATCTTTGTAGATTTTTTTAAAAAGCTATTCTTACGCATATACTTATTTTTATTACTGCTTTTAGTAGCATTTTGTATTTGGGCAAGGCTGAGATTTCTCCACAATATCTTACCTTTCCCAGTACTTATAATCAATATGATTCATAAATCTTTCCTTTTTCTTTCTTTCTTTTTTTTTTTGTTCTAAATGAGGGAAGGAAAAAGCCTACCACAAAGGGGTCCTGGGAAAAAATAAAATAAAATGGATTCTAATACTATAATTTTTGGAAATATGATCTTTGGTGGGTAAATTTAGCTCCTTTTCTCATTTAGTTATTAAAAATAATTTAGTTTGACGTTCTAAATAGTCCCCATTTAAAGCCAGAAATACATTTTTATTAATGCAAAATAAACTGAACAAAGCTACAATTGGCTGTGATTTAAGTTTACGCAAAAAAAGCAGCTAAAAGTTATTGAGCCCTTACTTTGTGACAGGCAATTGATTTATTAAATCTTACAACAGCCCCAGGAGGAGGTATTATAATTAGCCCTTTTTTACTCTTGAGGAAACTAAGGGTCAGAAGGATAAAAATAAAGTTGCCCAAGACTACTAAGCCAGCAATTAGTCAAGTCAGGATATAAATCTAGCTTCACTGATTAGGGATAACTGCAGAAAGAAGGTGTAAATTCAGACAGAGCTGGAGGGATCAAGGGAGGGCAACTGTCTGCCTGACCTCATTAGTAAACATTCCGTGTACTATCTCATTTATACTTTATGACAACCCTGTAAGACAGAAACCAGTATTTCATTTTAAAAATTTAACTCTTTTGAAATGATTTTTCAAATTGAATGTCAAATTACATACCGATATAAATCTGATTCAAGTAAAGTAAGCTGTCGAGCAATTTCTATTGGGTGTAAGGTGAGCAGGTCAAAAGTCTCTATGTGCCCAGGTCTGCTTATGTGCCACTCGACTGTAGGAGGCGAACTCTGAAATGTAATGTTATGACCTGGTCCATTGTCTCTCGCAATTTTTTTCCTTTGGATTATCTTAGTGATGGATTCAACCCATTTTTTCATTGCTTTACCTGAAATACATTATATTTTAAATAGAATATCCTTTACTTAATATTTTACATTTTAACATATTGATAACTTTTTAAATAAATGATACTGAATATATCTTTACATTTTTAAATATTGATAACATTTTTAAATAAATGATAACTGAATATATCTTTGGTATAAAGGTTCAAATGATCAAACGGAAAAACGCAACTTCCCCTTTATCATTTCCTAGCTCATTTTTCTCTACTTGGGTAACCACTATTAACAGTTTGGTGTGCATTCTTTCAGATCCTTTCTATATAAGATTAGAAGTAATTTATTTGTAGAGATTTTCTACCTCTATTATACTGAACTTCCCTCAAAATATTATTTTATACTCCTTCAAGAAAAGTTGTATATTATATAAATTACAATACTTATAAGGAAAGAATATACATATCCACTATTAATTAACATTATATTTTATAAACCAATTAGTGTTACAGGACCAATTCCTTCATTTATAGCGTGAGTTTTGATGTAGCCCTCTTTTGTACTGTATGTGAAAGTACTATCACTTAACAATTTATTTTCTAATTCTCATTTAGAGTGTACAATGTAAATAAAAACAAGTTTGTCTAGGTAGGACATCCTTACAGCCATACAATCACAGAATCTTTAGAAGGTAAATCATGGAGATCATTAAACCTAGCTCTTCATGTTATTGATATGGAAACTGAAGCCTGAAGAATCAAAGTGATTTTGCCTAGAGTCATGTATCTGGTTAGTGGCAGTATTAGAAACAGATTCTCAGTTTAATATGCTCTGCTGACTCTGTTTCTTTCTATTCACCTGTGGCCCATTTGACCTCCCACAGTGGTGTTATAACGGCACAGCAGTTCCTAAATGCCCTCCTACTTTCAGATAAGTATAAAAACTTAGCTTAAATTGAGACTCTAACCCATTCTGTCACTAAGCTGATTGACTAAATGAAAATACATTGGGGTCAAAAGGGTAACTACTGAGCAATTTGTAGGTCTAAATGCTTGATGAAAACTTTTAACTTCTTCATTTTTTCAAATGGTTATGTTGGCACTATCATAAACATCCCTTAACGACACAACAATGATGGCATCAATTGATGGTCACCATATTGAGACTTTTACTACATATTAAACTAGGCACCTAAAAAACATACCTCTTACTGTTCCAATAAATTCCTCCATTCGTTGTAAAAGATCTGCATCTCTTTCAAAATCATAGAAATGGTGCTCTACCCAGTGCCGACATACGTTCAATACTCTATGGTATTAACGCAGAATTGAATTACGTGAGAGCTCAAACATAAATATTTATCACAATGAATGGTGCACGTGAAAATAGAGTAACTCTAACCAAATTAAATGATCTCTTTTTAAGGCATGCATGAAACAAAGTTTATAAAGGAAGAGAAACAGAAGTTTACAGGGTAAGAGTAAGGTACAGGTTTATAAAGCAAGATATGCACAGATAGTAAAGGCCTTGGAGCAGTAAAGGCTATGGAGCAGTGGGCCCCCACCATTGTGAGGAGAAAAGCTTAACACCTTAAAAACTCTATGTTAATTAAGAATTATACAACTGTTGATAAATGTTCTTATTTAATTCACTCATTTTACTTGTTACTTCCTCCTTTTTTGGGAAAGGTCCTCAGCTCTGAGACAACAGTTCAATAAAGACTTGGTTACTTGAGTCCTTTATTTTATTTTATTTTTTTTTGAGACAGTGTCTTACTGTGTCACCCTTGGTAGAGTGCCATAGTGTCACAGCTCACAGCAACCTCAAACTCTTGGGCTTAAGTGATTCTCTTGTCTCAGCTTCCCAAGTAGCTGGGACTATAGGCCCACCACAACTCCCAGCTATTTTTTTGTTGCAGTTGTTTAGTTGGCCTGGGCTGGGTTCAAACCTGACACCCTCAGTGTATGTAGCTAGTGCAGTAACCACTGTGCTATGGGCACTGAGCCAGTCCTTTATTTAATGCTTACCGCAGTTGTACAGGCTGTATATATTCTTTTCTAAATCTTTTTAATTCTGCACTCAGTGGTTGGTCTCCATTCTCTAAAGCTATGCGATCAGCTTCTGTTGGCTCAGGCTCTGGAATTTCAAACCTAATATACAATAGAACAAATTAATGAAAATACTAATTTTATTAAATTATGCAAACAGAAAACCACAAACCTTTTCACCAGTCAGCAAAATCAAGATAATACTATAAAAATTACTAAGGATATATACATCAGTGAAAACAATCGAAACTTCTATAATGTAAAGGCTAATGAAATTATTTTAAATTAGTATTTGCCAATATAGATAAAATTAACTAGAAACATAAAAGAGAATACACGCAAATTCTAAAAAGCAATTATAAAGTTGTGGGACTGGTATTCATGTTTGGTTTGTAGACTTTTTCAAAATCAGCTGACATAGTAATTTTAAAGGTAATGCTTGCAAAGTTGATGGTTCTTCATTTGGGTGGATAAAACACCGTCCTTGATTATAGTTCTTATTAATGGTCAAGTTCCATTTCACTTAACATACGGTATACAGTAGAACCTCTGTAAGGTGACCAAGGGACTATAACAAATTGGTCAACATACGGAGGTGGTCAACATAAGGAACTAGGCCTGCTGTACTGATCTGTACTTGTACAGCTTTTATTAGAGATTATACAAAATCATACATAATCAAACAGTAAAATCATGCATATATACCGTATCATGCAAAATGAATACATTTACTGTTTTCTCATGGTTTAAGCATTCTTTCTGAAAAAGGAATCAATCTTGGTCTGTTTTTTATTCTTATTACAACATTAACTGGAGAAAGCACTCTCAATGCTGGCTACAACACTCAGCATGGCTGGGCGTTTTTCCACATGACTTAAACTGCATTATCAAATGCCTGATATCCTCTTCTGTTGGAGTCTGCAATTTCTATGTTATCCTCACTTGCTTCTTCCACTTCATCAGCTGCTTCATGCACTTTGACGCTGGTCTGTACTTTGGTAAATACCGCTTGGAAAATTGCTTCTGGGTTAGGTTCATTACAGGTTGCCACCACATCATCCATTGCAGCAAAACCTTCAAAATCTACTCCTTGGAATTCTGTCATGGGAGATGGACTGACTCATGGGGGCCAAACAACATGCTTTTGGGTTGTGACAAATTCAATGACACTTTTTTTTTTTTGAGACAGAGTCTTATGTGGCCCTCAGTAGAGTACCAGGGCATCATAGCTCATAGCAACCTCAAACTCTTGGGCTTACACGATTCTCTTGCCTCAGCCTCCCAAGTAGCTGGCACCACAGGCGCCTGCCACAACGCCCAGCTATTTTTTTGTTGTGGGTATCATTGTTGTTTAGCAGGCCTGGGCCGGGTTTGAACCTGCCAGCCCTGGTATATGTGGCCGGCACCCCAACCACTGAGCTACAGGCACCGAGCCACAATGACACTTCTGTATCATTTCTAGATGAACTTTATTCCAAGCAGAACTGATCCATAGGACAGAATCCAGAGAGTTAACTGAGGCAGTAAATGAAGGTGCTTCCACAGGTAGACCATAGGTTTGTGTTTTAGTAATAACCTGCTATAGGACCTGGGCTTGGTACTGCATTTTAAATATTTTGATGATGTCTTGGTCAAGAGGTTAGATTTTGAGGTCATACTTGGAGGCAGAAATTTCAGTGTCACAATTGTGAGATGATTCACTGTGTGTGGCCGGGACAGTGGTCTACTGTCAGTAGAAAAGACCATTTCTTCATCTTCATTTCTTGGTCAACAGCCCTTACCCACTCTTCACATAGGATAAGTTCTTGAATGCATGTGGCTTTGTTGATTTACCAATCACCAAGGGCTTTATTTTCTCTCTGGCAGAGTATTGCAAGGCAGAACTGCAAAATGTTCTTTGGAAAGTTTTCCACTCTTATATTTGTGACCCTTTATAGGCAGAAGGCCTCTAAGTAAGCCACCCTTCATGACAAGGCTATAGTCAGGTAGCACCTTGAAAAAGAGTCTGCACTCATTGGCATCAAAGATGTCACCTTTGAGGCTTCTGGCAAAGTCTGGGAACTTTATGATGAACTCTTCCACAGCTTCTACTGGAACTTCATTGAATTCATCATGTAAGATTTTCTGGGAGATCCTGTGTTGCAGTAGTTTAAATTTCTCGAGGCAACCACTTAATGCTTGGAAATCTGCCACCCCCACCCCTGAATTCCTGCACGAATTTTTTAGCAACTTCTGGACTGTTGGTCCAAAGATTCGCACATGAACTGCCCTCATTTATTTGAAACAGCTTAATGTGGCTTCATTAATTCCACTGAGGGAAGTTTTCCTCTTTCCTCCTTTTCTGCTATAGGTCTCTGCTTTCCTTACTCTATCTCTTCAAGTACTCATGATTATGTTTTTGGATGTTGCTCACTGTGGTCTTGCAAACACCAAAATGTTCCTTCATCTTTCTTTGGCTGCTGCTTTCCAGATAATGTAGAAGATCAACCTTTTCCTTCAATGTCTGCTTTTTGAATTCTTTCCTTTGGTCAGTGTGTCTCGATTAACTGTAAAATTTTTCAGTGATTGTAGGATGTACCCACAATTCAGACCAGTTCTTCACATTGAAAAAAATCTTCTGCAACATCTGATAAACAATAGGATGTTAGGCCTAATCCAACATGTGGTAATAATGGAGAAGAATTTATACTAAAGAAAAAATACTACTACAAGGGGGCAAAGCCCTTACCTTCTACCCCTTGGTACAGAGTGGACTCAAGTGGTCAAATTATAGAGGGTAAATTAATATTATGTGTCATAGTCCAGTGGTCAAGCTACAGCTACAGAGATGGTCATATACACCAGTCAGTTTTCCAGTGAGGACATGTGCTGCATGTCTGGTATATGAAAATTAGGTCAACTTAAGGAAGTGGTCAGTGTAGGGAAGTGGTCAATTATGGAGGTTCTACTGTATTTGAAAACTCTAAATCATCAAAATTTGAATTTCCGCATTTTGATATAGATATTTAATTTCATTAATTCTATAAGTTTGAAATTTCAAATACTGAATTTCCACATACCTATTTTTATACTTAAATAATCAAACTAACATATTATTATAAATAGTCACCTAGGAGATTTTATTTACTGAAAAAGTACTCAAACTATAATTTAAAGTTCATTCAACATATTTCTGAGACACAAAAGATCTTAGCTCAAGCTCTTTTTCAAAAAAATAAGGAATTTAAACATTTTTAAATGGACAGACCTTTCTATTATAAGACTCAGTAGTTCTTGAGGTTTGCAAAAGGATCTGTATGTTGTAAGAAATGTCCGAACAAAATTGGGATCTAAGAAGAAAAAGGAAAAATATCTTAATTAAAGTCTTTGATTCAGAATGATTAAAACTAATATTTACATTTTCAAAAAATATCAAATAGTCAATTTTAAAAGTGCTAAAATGTCTTGACAAGTAGAATGCTTTGGACTTTGTAATGCACCGCTAGCTTTAGTGCTTCCTAAATCAGTGGCAAAAACATTGATATTAAAACTTTACATCAACTTTTTCTTGCTCTCTGGACATGCTGACTAGCTGGTCTTAAACTCATCATTGGCCACAGGAATATGCAAGGAAGAAAGACAAAGGGAGAGCATGGAACAAGGCTCCAACCTGCTACCAGGATCTCAGAGCACGACCAGTTGGTTTATATCCTTGGTAAAGAAAAAGGCCACAGCAATATCCCATTACTTTTCCTGACATGCAGATTAAGTTAAATACAGTTTTTAAATTATTTTATTCGCTGGAAATCTTACAACTGCTAAAAAGATGCTTATGAATATCTGTAAGTTAAAACTATTAAATGCACTAGACTATGTTGGTTTGACCCTATGCCCAGCTTTTTATTCCTTTTAAGTAATCACAATGAAAGTTTAATCATAAAGGAGTCTCCAACCACATCCTTGAAAGGGCCTACTCTTCATTCACTCACATCTTTAACGAGTGTAATAGGAGGCGGGCTGAGTGTGATCACTTCCCCAGGTCTGGCCTACTCCCGACTCTCCTTGACAGTCTTCTCCCAAGTTGTGGAGAAAGGCTGTTGTTACTAGCATAGGAGAACTGGGGTGTTATCAATGCATAAAGAGGGAGAAAACTATTTTCCCATAACAGGCGGAAAGGTCACTTCTATAACTAACGTTCTATCAAAGTTCACATTTAATCAATTTGAGTCTTATTGGGAGCATTCTTTCCCTTATATTATAGACTAATAAACTACTTTAATGGCGAATTCATCAAGAATAGCAATGTGTTTATTTTTGTTAGGTTACACATTGGATCAAAACTTTATAAGAAGTGCAATGTCTTTTATTAGTATAGGATTTAGCAAAATCAGATTGTATTTGTTCAGAAATTTTCCATTTAGGCTGATTCTGATTAGGAACTATCGTAAATTTAGCCATAAAATATTTACAGTATGCTAACTTTTCCCCAAAAAAGCAAATTTATGAATTTATCATAAAGCAGAAATCTATTTCCAGTATGCTGGTATATATGGTCATCGAAATAATGAACTTATTTAAATATCATACATCCTTGAATTTAAAATTATAATACTTTTTTAAGTTAAAGAAAAATGTTCAAAATAAAAATACATTGGTTTTTAAATGCCCCTTCTCCTTTAGCTTTATACCTTCTAAAGCTACAGTGAGTTACTGATAAAAGTAATTTTAAATACATATAATTCTTTAATAATTTCCTCTCTGTTGGTATTTTATTGTTTGTCTTCAGTTACAGAGTTCCTCAAAACTTAAAGACTAATGTCTCATCCAGAAGAAAAGATATTAAAACAGAAGGCTGTACAAGATTTTAAAACAGAGATTTTTATCGGTTTCATCACAATCTTCCCTTTCAAGAATCTTCTTCCTGTTCTGCAAATGTATTTGTAAGGTGAGGCTACTCAAAACAGCATGCTTAGGAAGCAAAAGCAGTGGCCACTGTAGAGATGCTGAGCTGTCACTATCGGAGAGGGAGCCCATACCCTCAGTACCGAGTGCTTTGAGTATCCTGAGTTGAATCCAAATGTAGGGACCCCCCAATCCACCGTGTCCCCTTTTAAAAAATTTCACTCTCAAAATCTAAAATTAATATCAAGATCCATTTCTTCTCAAATGCCACCAAAGTTGGGCTAAAGAGTTGTGGGATATCAATGGTACTTTTAAGTTGAAAGAGAATAAAAGCAAGTTCTAAGTAAATTAAAGCATGCTTTAAGAAAACCATGGCTACTTTTAAAGGCAAACTATTTTCAAACAGGTTTTTCATCTTTTTTTTTTTTTTAAATTTCAGGTTAATGTGAGGGTACAAACAACTAGGTTTTTCACCTTCTTAAACCAAAATTTCTGGCCATAATCAGTACTTTAGTAACTGATGATAATGCTGAGAAAGCCATGATGTACCCCAGTGCAGGGTCAGATAGGATCATATCCGTTTCTGATATCTGTTATATAATGTTCTCAAAGCTCATTCCTATAATTTATTCCATATGATTTCTGTGGGGCGAGTAGGGCGGGTGAGAGAAGTAACTAACGCTTCACCAGGCTCACATTGTAGAGTGGCAGAGGTGGAACTAGAACCTAGATCATGCAATTCTTCATTTAGTGATTTTTTTTTTTTTTTTTTTGGCCAGGGCTGGGTTTGAACCCACTACCTCTGGTATATGGGGCTGACTCCCTACTCCTTTGAGCCACGGGTGCCGCCCATTTAGTGATTTTTTAAATACCATCTCATATAACCTTCCTGGAATAAAGAATCCTTAAGGTTTCCACAGCTGTAAGATCTAAACGTAAGAGTTATTCCATGAATTATACAATCACTTAAGAAATATGTATAAGTGATTAATTCAGAACTTGGTTAAAGGCACCAGAAAGTCACTGAAAAAATTAGCAGTCTAATTGTGATCCTGCAACTCTTGATAAACCTTGCAGATTTTAGGAAGGAGCAGCTGTACCTTCCCTGTACACTGTATTCAGAAGAAGTTTCTGGAGCTGGCAGTGAAATAAACACTTCTACAATCATCACGGTTGTATTAGGTTCTAGAGTGGCTCAAGTTTCAGTTGCTTTAGCTTGACTGGAAGTAAGGGCAGTATTGCCAAAAAGAAAAAACAGCAAAATCTAAAAATAAACCAAGAAAATTTGATAACAATTTAAGTACTTTTGAAAAATATCTTAAAAGGCTGTATATATTCCCAGATTTGTATTTATTTAGACTTTAGTTGTAGTCTAAAGAAATGCAAAATTGCTTATGAATGAAAAACTTATATTGACAGGACATGATATCTGTATTTGAAATTTTACACAGGAAAGTATACATATTCCAGAAACTATTTTTATTTCTATTGGATGGATTGGATTTTATTCCATTTCAATGACTGTAACATACATGTTACACTTACTGGATGCTTTTATCTTATTGATGTAAAGGGATAATTTTTTTTTTTTTTTGAGACAAGAGTCTCACTCAGTTGCCCTGAGTAGGGTGCTGTGGCATCATAGCTCACAGCAACCTCAGACTCTTGTGTTCAAGTGATCTTCTTGCCTCATCCTCCCAAGTAGCTGGGACTACAGATGCTTACCACAATGCCCAGCTAGTTTTTCTAATTTGATATTAAAACAAATCACTTACTCCCCATTTATCAGACAATGATAAAAGGTAAGTTATCTACCTATATTCTAAAAATATGTTTCAGAGCCAAACAGAAGGCAAATATATAAAAACAAAAAAGCCAGTTTGGGTTTGGCTGTAAAACATAAGCATGAACAAATTATTGTAGAGAAAATTAAAAATAGCCTATTTTGATAGTCTAATTTTCTGTTTATCATTTGCTTGTGGAGTTAATTCCACAAAGCTGTTTCTTGAACATGACTCCTTAACGGATTTCAATATGAGCAACGACAAAAGCTTGTCCCACAGTTTCTTCTCCCTTATCATAGGTAATTTTACTCTCCTACTTGACTCTCAAATCCCTGCACTAAGGTTTCCAGCACATTAGCTAGCTGATCTGCTTCCCACTATGCAAGCTCTTCACACAGACACCTGCCTACTCTGCCATCAAGTCCCTACTCTAGGTCCTGGTTATTTTAAACATGAGCTGGAGTTAACCTTTTTTGCTGCCCTTCTAGGTGTCTCTGTGACATTTTACTGCATAGTTCTTCAAAATCTTGGGAACTCAGAATATACTTGTAATAGTATTCAGAATAGAGCATTAAATTTGAGGTGATAAATCCTTTTTCTTATGTGCCTATTTTGATTGACATTTGGCAAGGTCAGTGGGATTTGTGAAGTATTTATTACATAAAGTTATTTAGGTAAAGAATACCCTTCCTCCAACCACCACAGTGAAACACTGTTGGTCAGGATGTCTGCTCATGGGATAATTCTCCTTTTAATTCAGCTGTTTAAAAAGCCAAAAGAAACAATAAGCTTCTTAAAAAGGATTTATAAACAATCAGTCTTGAATTCCTTAAAAAAGGAAACAGACGCTATGCTGACGCACAATTTAAAAAAAAATCAGAGAGTTTAAATATAGCACAACACTGCACTATAGATCAAAAACTGTTGAAAAGATTAAAAAAAATTAAAATACCCAAACTGAGCTTATATAGGACACAAACTCGAAAGAAATCTAATGTAAGATTTTGAGCATTTTCTATATGAAGGAATAAAATAGGAATAAACGCTTTAATGAAAAATATCTTCTGGCTTAAGTTTTTTCAATACCATTGTCTGTAAAAGAGAAATTCACCACGCATGGGAAATACTTTTTCCTTACACTTCAAAATGCAAAGCCTTTATTTTCCGTAAATTGTCAGTTCTAAACTATTTTCTTTACCTCAAAGTCATCTCATTTTTCTTAAATAGACTACCAAACTGGACATATTAACACTAATCATGTCTCTACTCATTGTTGTAGGTCACAATAATTAATTTGTACTTTATTGCCTGTAACAGAAGTGAAATTCTTACTGTCCTTTTCTTTGTGTACATTGCTTTGTACTTTCTTATTCTAGGCAAGGAAATTGTCTCTTCATATTGTTGCCAGATTTAGATGGCCCATCTAACTGGGTGATTTTCCTCCCAGCATTTGGGATAAATCCCAAAGTTCTGATGTAGTTAGTGAATTACTACATGTCAAGAAACACTTGATCTGAGAGACAAACTATAATAGATTCCATGTAACATTCTGTTGTAATCTTTTAAACTAATTACTTTCTAATTCACCTAAATTTAAATTTTTCTTTCTAGAAAGTTTTCCTTTTACAGAGCAAACTATACTAATGGACTAATGACAGAATTTTATCAAAAAATAAAATGATGACTAATATCTAAATAGGCACAAAAATCTATGTTTTACAATGAAATTGTACCTATAGTCAGAACTTACCTACTATTTCAATAAGAAAAAAAAATTGTTCCATGTTTTCTTAGTAGACCTGTGTTTACCCAGAAATGAAAAACCATTCATATTATTGGCAGTTCAAACCAAGGAACTAATTCCTTTTGTTTTTATTATTTAACACCTATAATTAAAAATTATATCACATTCTATTCACACAAAAAAATCACTGAATTTGAGTTATCTTGTATATAAATAGTGCAAAGTATTTCTACTGAGTCAAGAAAAGTAATTTTTAATCCTTGTTCTGCAATTAACTTTTGGCAATAATATAATCTTCAGGGGTTTTGGGTTTTTATTTACAAACTTGGTCATCTCCTCTAGCACTAGAGATCTATAGCTCTATTTTATACCTCATTGTTAAAACAGGCAAGGGATAAAGTTGGTCAAAGCAATAGTGACACCTGAATTAAGTAAGGCTAAAATCAGTTTCTCTTCTGCTTTTCATGACAGTATCTGACCTGCTATAATAATCTAAAAGATGTTTGTAAGTGGTATCTTATATTATTATTAGACTTTCCCATGTATTTTATCCCATGTCTTTTATTATAATTCTATATCATAAAAATATGTAAGTTAAATTTTACTTTTTATTTCAGTGTAAGCCACAATCTGTATTATATGTTCTCCAGTAAATACACCTACTAACCAACTGGCCAAACCAAAAATCCCATTTGTTTTTGAGGAGGTTGAAGGAAGGTCAGAGGAGAACAGCAGTATAATCAAGCAAATGGTAACTTGATGTTACCATGGTAGTAAGGACCGAAAGTCCCTTTCAGCTGGAAAGGACTTTATAAAGAAGTACTTTCATGTTTTACAAGTTTGCAGATGGTCTATTAAGGGTACCTTCCAGGTTGCCAGTAGTAAGTTCAGTAACAGACTGCACAGAAGAGACCAAGTAAGCTAATAATCCCACTAATTTGTGTGTACTATAAACCACAACTCATGAAATCTGCTTATAGATTCCAGTTTTGCTAGTAATATGTTTATGACATAAATATTCAATTAAGTGTCAAGCGAAGACAGAAAAATATTTTTTAAGAACTTAGCCACAACACTTCTAAAACCAACATTGGCATTTTATGTCTCAAGAAACTGCTGGAAGGAATTTTTATTAAGTAAAATAATTGAGATGCTTAATAATAAATTTAACTTTGGCAAAATTCTATAAATCTTGAAATTTATGTATTTTTATATAAGTAAAAGCATTAAAAATATTATTCTATTCAAAAACTAACAACTGATATAAAAGAGAGCAGCTATCAGAAATAACTATCCAGACACCATGGCAGGAGTCCTATGTGCACAGACTTTAGCTAGCATTGCACACATTAAGGAAAGAAGACTGTCAAAACTGCAGAAAAACTATCGGCCTGTCCAAGTTAGGCTTGTTTTAAAAGTGTCCTCACTCAAAAAATAAAAGGCCAGTTCCTCAGAAAAGAAATACTTAATTGTAGTTTTGCAACTGCTCATTAATAATCGTAAATTAATCCCGTGAAACACAGCAATTTAGAGAAAATTTTTGTCACTGATGATCAAGTTTTATAGAGGCAATTAATTAACATTTGAAATTTCGAATTTGAAAATGTTTTCCAACAAGAATTACTGACTTTTGACAGTAAATACTAGTAAGTCTTCTTTAGCATGCCACTTATAACGCTCTACAGGAAAAAAAATTAAAACTTCTGTCACATACAAATAAAAATCTGAGGATTAATTTTATTCTAAAAAGTCTAAGAACTCAAAACAGAAGTATTTTAAGACAGTGGTTCTCAACCTTCCTAATTCCACGACCCTTTAATATAGTTCCTCGTGTTGTGGTGACCCACAACCATAAAATTATTTTCGTTGCTACTTCATAACTATAATTTTGTTACTGTTATAAATCGGAATGTAAATATCTGATATGCAGGATGTATTTTCATTGTTAGAAAGGGGTTGCAACCCACAGGTTGAGAACCACTGATTTAAAAGGAAATGATAAAGTTTTGATTGCTTATTATAAAAACTCTACAAATCCTCTAAGGACTTCAAAACTAGGATAATGTGGCCAAAAAGGCAATTTGAACTTTTATTAACCTTAAGAAGGAGCAAAGAAATAAATATTTTGCAACCACGAATTTTGGATGATTGAACAAAATATCTTAATAGTTGTAGTACAGATCTTAAAGAATTTATAGAATGTTGATAAAGATCAATTAAATTGGTAGGTCATATTACTAAAAATTGTACCTCTCAAAAAAACCTTTATATGTAAGAAAGATGACAATGAAAGTTATTTAAAATACTTGTGCTTTATTTTTAAATTTTTGTATCAGTAAAATGAATAAATTGATTACAGAAGTTTCTAGGTAAAAAATTAAAATAAAATTAGAATCCTTGGCTTCTGGGGTTGCTAAATGTCATAGGCTTAGGAATAGAAATTAAGAAAAAGCAAGGCTATGTATGTTTGTACTATCAGCCAATTTTGGTGGATTCACATTCAAATTTTTATGTATTTTATAATCTTAGTAAGGGAAAAGAGAAGAAAAAAGAGAGAAAGGAGTACAAAAATTTTTAGACCCCAATAATAATGATTTGTTCACTAATTTTAGTATTGTTTCTGTCACTTTCTAACTGGGTAAATTTAGCCAAGTAACCTCAATTTCTCATTTATAAGTCTGAGTATAAGGTTAAGAATAATATTTGTAAATATGGTAGAAAACATAAAATTTCAAAGAAATATAAAGTGATGGTATTTTTAGTCAAAAAGAACTCTGATAACGTAGAGGTGTTTAGTTAGTAGTTTGTTTTCTATTTTAGGCACAATAACCCATGCAGTGAAGACAATTAGCTTGAAACAGGAAAACAAAAGTGACAGGCAACTCCGTATTTCTTACCTGCATACATATGGTATGTAAGCCTCTCTATAAGTTTAATAACAGTTCCTGCTTTGATAATTGGAATTCCAGCCTTGGGCTGCATATTTTCTTCAAATATAATATTCTCTTCAGAGTCAGGCTCTGCAAATCTGTAAACGTCAGCACTAGGCAGCCTCATCTGCTCCTCCTTCTCTTCCTGCAGCATCGTCACATCAAGCATCCTTTCCAGTGTGCTTCGGTACTGTAAAGATATCAATGCTGCCATCCAATTGTTTTTCTCTTCAGCTGACTTGGCAGAAAATATTACACTATTTTCATCTTTTAAAATTATTTCAAAAGCATGCTTGTATTCATTGGTGTCATCTTTATCATTAATTTGTACCTTTCGCATAAAAAACTTTTCTTTAAGACGATATTCTGCATTGCTAGCACCAGGAAGTCTTGGCTGCCCGTGATTTGATTTACAGCAAATCATTAAGCCATCAAAGAGAAATATGTGTCTCTCATGTTTGGCTCCTACCCGTGTAAGAGTTCCTTCCATTATAAACTCATTGCAACACTGTCCAATGTCTTTTCCCTCCCAACCATCAATATTCTTCTGGATCTCGTTCATTTTCTTAATTGCCAGTTGTTTCCCCTTCATTTGCTGACTATAAAACCGACATGCAGATTCACTGGGATAAAGGAAAGACATTATTAGTACACAGACGATAGAGTATCTCAAGCTCATGTAGATAAGGGATAATGCAAATTTTAAGAAGTCACACTGATAAGGTGTTCACTAATTCCCCAAATATATTAGTGTTACAGAATTACACAATTTTGGAAATTAAAGTAACACAGTGGAGAATCTGTTTCTCAGTGCTTTAAAAAGAACAATGACTATTGACAAAATTCTACCCTATAAATTCACCTACAGAATGATTATTTCCACCTTGGCTATTTAATATTTAGAATGACAAATATTAAAAAGTAGCCCAATCTAGTGAAAAAAGTAATTTAAAAGATTACAATTAATTATTTATAAGTTTAAATGGACAAGACCCAAACCTAAAAACGTGTAACACATACTATAATGAGGAAAGTGGAAGCAATGTTACCTAAATTAATGACTCAAAAGTTAAAGCGTCCCTAAAATAAGGGACACTACTAATTTTACTCTGAAAGAACAATGATGCTAAGATAAATCTACCCAATACATTTTACTCTCTCTCTCCTTTAGCTTACCAGTTGACTCTCAGGAGGTCTTGTCTGTGAGTATGCAAGGAAAATGCACAATATGAAAGTTTTTTCAAACAATAACAATTCTCTTGGCTTTGATGTCACTTCCTCTGAAAGACCAGGCTTGTCACTAAAACTATTTTTTTCATTGTTTACTTGAGGAGGGAACTGGGATCCCTGAATTTATACAACAATATTCAGGGTAAAAAGGAGGATATTTTTAAAAGTGAAAATATTCACCTTAGTCTTCGTTTTGCAAGACTCTTAGAACATATTTTTTCCATACCACTCTGAACATTAAGCAAAGCTGTTATTGCTTGTTTTAAACATTCCTTGTCTTCTTGGTCTTCACTTTTTTCTTCTAACTGCTGCAAAGCCAAAATGACAAATTTGAACCACTAGGACAGTTCTGAACAAAATAATAAGCTCATTTTATTTAAGGATAAAAATAACATTCAACTTCTAGTACAATAAAAATTTTAAATGTGTTATAAAATACTGTGTATTATTCTTTTTAAAAGTGTTTCTTTTTTGAACATACATGTTTTCCACATTAAATAAAAAGCTAGTAGTGTTAAAAAAATAGGTTATACTCTGTGACAGGCAGTAATGAGCAATTCCTCAAGTTGCCTATTGCTGAAGAAGTGAGGAGCATAAAATGTGCATCACTATCACTGGATTTAGCACACCGCTAGGCATGTAGATGGGATTTTTAAGTGTAGAATTTGGTCTTAGGTGATAATAGGGTCTTTGATCCCTATATTATCATTGTAGGGTATTGGGAAGATGAGGAAGACGTACATACAGAGAAGGATGCATTATAGTGGAGAGAAATGCCAATCAAAACCTAGGATTAAATTTTGTGTCTACTTTTGTGTGACCTGGGGGAAAGTTAATTGATCTCTAACTTTTACTTTTTCCTTTTGCCAAATGAGGCTTATAAAAAGCCTGTCCTGCCTACTTTTTGGGGTTGTTATTAAAAAAATCAAAACACTTTGTAAATGGTAACATACAATGTAAGGGTAAATTGTTTTCTCTGCATTTGTAATACAGAATTGACCACATTAATGAAGAACTTTGTCAGTATCTACCTTAAGATTTTGAATAAAGCTAGCAATATACATATGTATGAAACTCAAACGCATTTTCCATTAGTGCCAAATATCTATTTATGACAGTCTGTACTTAACAAGAACTAAGTTATCAATACATAAATTGGCTATGATTCAAGCAATTAAGAAAGCATGAATGGCAATGTATCAGTGTCTTCTAAATATTCTAATCCAGCTTCTAACTACTAAAAAGGAAAAGTCAGAAATAACATTGTATCAATACAGCTTTCATGCAACTATTTAAGACCACCTACTTATTCTCTACCATAAAGGAAAAGACTTGAGATATAAAGCCATAAAATATTTAAAGTAATTTACAAAGCAGTTTACTTTTTAATGAACTTCATTATTCATTAGT